AGATATCAAAAGGCGAGTAAAAATCTCTTTTCATTTAGAGTGTGGGATAAAGTGGCGTGACGGAGACCTTCTTGGTTGTCCAAGTCATTAAGGCTTTTTGCCGAGCCGTAAACTGGTGTTGGCGCTATTCGAGTTATCGAGGGCTAAAGGCTTTTTGCCGACCCAACATTGGACCACACTGGGGCACATAGACCTTCTCGGTTACGATGATGTTTTGGTGGGGAAAATTGAATGGCAAATTGAGCATAAGTGTTAGCAGAACTAACTCCAGACCCTCCTAGGTTCCCAAACCCGATCGTAAGAAAGCAAGAGATTGGGAAGACAAACGTTCGCGTGGGCAAACACATATCCACCAGCCGATTAAAGGGACGATTAACGGGAATGGAAATGTAATCGGGAATATAAACGGCACTAACAATTTCAAACCTTCCTTTGCTACATCAAAAAGGGGTTTGAATCGTGAAAAGGTATTAATGTGTATTTTTCAGTTATAATGCGATTTGTTACTAATGATCTACATTACTTTAGAACAAGGATGAAGTTACAAAACGGGTTAAAATCGAATCACAAGATCTACCTATTGAGACCGACTCTGAAGAAAGCATTGAGGATAAACCTAAAGCTAGTACTCCACCACCATTTTTTTATATTAGCTCAGAATCTGAATCTGATGAAGACTATAACTCGGATAAGGATGATGACTCATTCAATTATGATATTAAAGCGGTTTCATTCGATGATTATTTAAACCCAAATAAAACGAAATCCGAATGGAAATTAGAAGATGGTCGTCTAATTATTGATATTGCTAGCACTAAGACTGCTGAGGTGGTAAAATTAGCGATGGAAAAGAAGAACGAACGAACACAATTTATGAAAAGTGTTATCCGGTATGCTCTCTTTTCCGAAATAGTTCATTAATAAAAAGGAAATTCTAATATTGTAAATATAGATTAGGGCTTTCATCAATCGTCGATTTATCTTCAGAGTTTGAAAATGGAATGTGTACGTGGTTTGGGCAGGAATGGACGGATATTAAAAGAAAGGTCTATGAGATCGTTAATATGGAACCAAATGTCTTCGAAGGGGAGATAACAAACGTTATTGATACTGTCGAAGAGGAAAGTAGTTTATTGTCTTCTGCGCATATATACATTACTTCATTACTTATGCCTATTTTGGTCATTTTCAGATGTGCGATAGGTACAAATATAATGAAGCATGCGACTATTTATATAAGATTAGAACCGGCAACCATTCCCAAATAGTACAGCAAATAGCCAGAATATATTTCTACGTGTAAGTTATAAAATTTTTTTACAATTTAATTGCATTGATTATCTACTAATACTGTTAAATTTATTGTTAGGATTGATGAATTTTTAAAAAATCCGTTCATATTTGTAGACAAAACAGGAAAATATAAGGAAATCAGCGAGATTGAATATGCAATGGCTATGACTGCACCAATACTAAATAATGTATTCAATGATGTCTTTGATTATCTGGAACTTCGTTGGTAAGTCCATTATTATTGTTACCAATATTTGTAAAAGTAATGACATTTGATTGCATACATATATATAGGGGAGAAACATTATCTAAGACTATGTCTGATCGTCGTCGAAAAATCGATTTGAGAATTGTTCATAAAACCAAAAAAATTGAACTCAGCCATTCCGAAGCCGCCAAAGCTCCTACACCCGGAAAAGCTGTACAAGATCGTTCAAAATGTTTACGAACATTGAAAGGTGTTCTTGATAATTTCTTAAAAGAAGATTTATCTGATGAGGAGGTTCAGGACTCAAAAATATTAGGCATTCAATTTGCTGGTAGGATACATCGAATTGTGTTGTTGAGTTAATAAATAATTATATAATTAACGTTTCGTTTATTACATAAGGTTTGAATGGGCAAATAATAGGGATAGATCTTCTTGATGATGGACTTTATTTCGGGTTAGAGGGACCAACTTTTAGTTTTCCGGCGCAACTCACAAATATCAAATGTCTTCGTAGTGCGCTGGAAGCCTTATATTTTTTCAAAGTAAGATACTGGCATCCTGTTATTGTTTTTAATTTATACTTATTCAACTCCTTGTTTTTATACTTTTAGCAAAAAATTGTTAAAAAAATGATGCTAATACCTGATCCAGAAAAGGTGAATCACCCATATAATCGGATATTTTATTCAAATTCGGGTACATTAGTGAAGGCAAAACATTTCAAAACCAAATTTGTTCGAAAAACATATTTTACACCAAAAGAAAGAAAAACCAGAAACGGTTATGCTCAAGGTTCTAATGTTAGCTGAAGAACTTATCTTAATAAAATCACACAAGCCTCTTTGCATATCATAATAAGATTTCATCAGGCTAAGGTCTACAGAAAAATATAACATTATATACAGTGGTACCGGAAATTATTTAAAAAAATGTATTCACTAATTGGAATGAATTTATTTTGCTTCATCAAGATAATAAAATGCTATGTATCCGTTGTTATCAATAAATGTATCAGCAAAAGTGAGAAATGAAACGCGTGCATGATTTCTTCATGCCGATTAATACTAGATCATCATTTTGACACTGTTCCTCTTTCTTCTCCTTATTAATAAGTCGTTTTCTCGATAAGTCGGCCATTAGAGGTCAAACCAAGTTGGCCGACTTATCGAGACCGACTGTGTATTAAGTTATTAATATAAGGTGTACGCTTCTAAGTGCCAAACTTTTATATGGCTATACTATTATTATTA